GCTCCCTCTCACCGCATGCAACGTTAAGATAGGAATGCATTTATATTTCATTCTCCTGCAATAGAAAGACAGCTCTTGTGTTCATTTTCCCCTGATGCTGGTTAGAATACAGAACAGAAACTGCCCGCCCAACACAACGCTGTGATCGCTGGGGGACTTAACTGGGTTTGTGCAGCTCCTCATTTTCACAGCAGGAGCAACAGAAGAACTGAGCTCTAACACTTAATTTTACCATAGGCTCAGCCAGGGATGTCAGGCCCTGGCATCTGCTGGATGTTTCCATCCCCAGTAGCTTATATGTGATATTATACACTGCACACAGAACATTGTTAAACTGTGGGATTTGTTAGCACAAGATCTAGTGATAGCTGCCAATCTGGAGTGCTTTATAAAGAGACCAGACAGACTATCAATGGATGTAAGTCACAAGGGCAGTATACTATCTCTAGCTGTCAAAGACAGTATGTTTCTGAATACAGTCGTGCCTCGCTTTACGATTGCCCTGTATAACAATGAATCTGCTTAAAGATGCCTTTTTTGCGATCGCAAAACGATGCTTCCTATGGGCAAAATCCGCTGTGCGATGATCGGGCCTCTGCTTCAGGACCCTTTTTTTTGCATTACGATGATCAGCGAATAGCTCATCGTCGGGTTCCAAAATGGCCACCGGCTGAAGAAAATGCCCCCCCGCTGTTTTCTAGGATGGATTCCTCGCTAGACAGGCACAGAAAATGGCTGCCGTATGGAGGATCTTCACTGGATGATGGGTTTTTAGCCCATTGGAATGCATTAACCGGGTTTTAATGCGTTTCAATAGGTTTTTTATTTTTGCTTTACGATGTTTTCGCTCTACAGCAATTTCGCTGGAACGAATTAACATCGTTAAGCGAGGCACCACTGTACCAGTTTCAGAATAAGGCAAGTGGAAGAGGGCTATCACCCTCACATTCTGCTTGTGGGGTTGGAGGAAACAGGTGTTTGGTCAGACCCTGCATGACTCTTCTTATATTCTTATGAATGCTATTCCATAGGCCCCAGGTTTTCACATTATGATCATCTGTTAGCATGCATCAGCATGCAGATAATGTACTGTGATCATCTTTTATCATCTGTAACCTACAAGCATGGGATTGATTCCAGAGGAGAAATCTAATCAGGATGTTGTGAAGTTTTTTTTTGTTTTGTTTTGTCTTTGGTTTCTCTATTGCCGTAGCTTTCATCACAGAAATGGCTTGTGATTGAGCATTTTCAGTGATGGGAGAAGCAACTCAGATGGATTTAGTGTCTACCTCTCCTTTCTTTACTTTCCCCTTACCATCTCTGTGCTGTTTCTAGCATCAAAGGGATACTCTGAGAATCAGTCATTAAAATTATAACTTAATTCTGATGTCATCTTTTATCTCTGAGAAACAGCCTCCAGGAAACTGGCTTATATGGTACTGGCAAATATTGTATAGCTATGTAAGGGTTTTCTTTTGCTTTTTTTTAGCTGCCACCCACGTTTTAGTAGACTAGTACTCAATTAAGAGATTGACAATTTATAAGGCTGTGGTGTGAACAATTCTGCTATTTTCTATTTGTTTGAAGCAATTTGCTAATGATTAATTGAATTCTGTTTAAGGATGCCTGGATGACAGAAGAGGGTTGAAGGCCAAGGAGTGGCAAGAACCATAGAAGAAAATGACTGCATCAGCTTGAAATTTGTGATAGAGAAAAACAGGTCTTAGCTGAATGCATACATTGAGCACTTGCCTTGGGGCTAGCAATTCAATTGCTAATCCCAATTAGAATAGACCCAATGAATTAATGGGATCACATGTGTGGTCTTTACCATTCAATAATTGATTCAAAGGGTCTATGATGATACTCTTATTGTTGCTGTAGCTGCTGATACTGATAATAATCTTATCTTAGAATTGCACTGCTAGAAGGGACACTATTCCAGCCCTCTCAAGGAGGCACAGTGGGGAATCGAACTCACAACCTCTGGCTCTGCATCCAGATGCGTAAGTCACTAAGCTATCCAGCAGTTCAGGTCTACTCTGCTTGGAACCAGTAAGCAGATTTTAGAAAAGCCAGTTTCAATAAATGAAAGAAAAGTTAGGTGGTAAAAATCACGTAGGGAGAAACAAATTCAAGACAGATGAGAGACTCAGAAAAATACTGAAGGGGCAGTCATGGATTATTCCCATTAAGAAGGAAAATGGAAGATTCTGGTTATTGGATTCTGGAGGATACAGTGGTGCCTCGGCTTACAACCGTCTTGACTTGCAAACAATTTGAGTTACAACCAGCTCTGGTCACAACATTTTGCTTTGACTTGCAACTGGAGCTTTGAGATACAACTGGAAAAAAGGCCCCCTTTACCCATTGTTCCCTCTTCCCTCCTTTCCTGTCCTTTTTTAAATCTTAGAGGTCATCTTAGGTTTTTTAAAAAAGTCTCCCCTTAGTGGTAGTGGATGGATCAACAGCTTTAGCATTAGTTCCTATGGGAACTAATGCTTTGAGATACAACCATCGCCTTGAGATACAACAAAAAAATGGCTGGAACGGATTAATCACTTTTCAATGTATTCCTATGGGAAATGGTGCTTTGAGTTACAACCAACTTGGGTTACAACCATAATCTGGAACAAATTAAGTTCGCAACTCAAGGCACCACTGTATTTGAAGAATGCACACAAACGAACACCCACAAAGATCCTGAATAGCAATTCAAACAACAATCTATTTCTCCACCAAAAAATGCAAGAAAAGATCTCCATATTTAATTAGCCAATGTGGCTCCAGGGGAAGATCTCTGATGAGTTCAGATTAAGAAGGACATATAGAGGTGATGAATAGGAGACACACAACCAAACATATGACACAGCGAGGGCTCAGTCTGGTGAGGAAGGCAACAGCCCTGAAACAGCTGAGCTGAATCTTCAAAAGGTTGCAAGACAGCTTCTTTGTCTATCTTAGCAGGATGAAGATAATCAAGGAAGATGATGCACACTTGTTAGCTGATGATGGAGAGAAAACACTTTAAATGACCCAGATCTCAATGGACAGATGATCCCTGTGTGCTGAAAGAGCTTGCAAATATCATTAAGAATTGCTCTCTGTGATTTTTGAAAATTCTTGGAGGACACATGGGGTGCCAGAAGAGAGGAACAAATGTTGCCCCCATCTTCAAGAGAAGGACAAAGGCAGAGCAAACTCAATAATTAAGCTATAAATCGCTAAACATCTGGAAAATAATTCCTTGATTACTGAAGATCAATGTGGTTTTGTTAGGAAGATGTTATGCCAGCTCAACCTTTTCTTTTTGCTAAAGTTACTGGTTTGGTAATTGTGAGAATGACATGGACATAGTATTGTGGACTTGGGGAACATGACAAAATGGAATTCATTTTCTGAACTTTTTTGTTTGCCTGTAAGGGCATGAGAACATAAACGTTCACGTCTGGAGATTGTTCGCACCCCTTTCCTATCTCCTATTCCTATATTCCTATCCTGGGTTGCGTCAAAGAAGAACTGTGATCAAGAGGGCTTCAGAAGCCAGAGCCTAACACATCAAACGTTTTATTTCTATATCCAAATAGTCACCAATTGTTTGTATCTGTGAGATAGGAATCAGCTTGCTTTCTTGCCTAAGGGTTATGCAGATTTCAAAGTTGAGAAGAAAGCATGTAAGAAAGATCAAAGTGGATTATGAGCAATTATGTAATTGTTGGCCTCAGGAGTTAATGGGTTAATTGGTATAAACAGGAATTATCTGAGTCTTTGGGAGCTTAGCATTCCTTTAGGGAGGGCTGTGTGTCACTTCCCAGCAGTAGCATTACTTGCAAGGAGAACACTGTGTGCCATGTGTGAAGCTGTGCCAGGGAACATATGGAGTGTCTACCTAGACTGAGGGTAAATTAGTGTTTATTATTGTCTGATGTGTTTCTGCTTTTGAGTGCTGTAATCCTGTAACCATATTTGCTTTTATATCTAGAGCTGTTTTCCTATTTTTGAATTGCCCCTTTCTCCCCCTTACTTTTTTTCTTTTCATTAAAACAAATAAACTATACAAATCCTTTCATGCCGTTGTTTCGAAGGTGACCGAGGGGAGGTGTTGTACTAACTATCCAGTCCTTAGCTTTCTCCAAGCTACTGAAATAATTAGTATTGTTTGATGGGAGCTGGTGGCAGCCTATTGTGGTTTTGTGTATTGAACCCCTCGGATCATGCACCATCTGACAGGCTGAGCAATCCCAGCCAGGACTCATAGCCTCTCCTGGTGCCTGCTCACTCTGAGAGCTGCCACTCAGGAAAAGTGGGAGGTAATGTGATAGAGTGGCTATAGTGAGGCCTCTCATGACAAGGCTTCTCTTTCAAAACTGACAGGCAAAAAGAATGTTTCTGAATATGAACAAATTGTTTTCTGTCTTGTGGGAAATACTGAGAACTGAACCCAAATTCATTAATGGTCACAGTGATGAAGAACAAAGGTGTGGAATCTTTGGTGTTCCCATGTTTTGTACTTCAACTTCCAGACGATATGACAAGTGTGATGAATTGATCACATATAATAGCTCTAACCAGGTCTGTTACTGATATTAGAGTTTGTTTCTTCACTCAGCCACTAACTCTTTAATGAGGGAAATGATACGATTTAGGCGAAAAAAATGTCTGATCTGACCTTCTTATCACCACCCTTCCCAAAACTGGAGCTGGAGTTATTTGGGGCTACAACTCTCATCAATGCCAGCCAGCATGGCTAATGATGAGGATGATTAGAGTTATAGGGTGAAAATATAGATGGTGGAGAATTGGGGAAGGCTGTTCTGTGTGATACAAAGCAGAGTCTGGAAAAGTTACTTCTGAATTACAATTGCCAGTATATCTAGTCAGCAGGACATTGGAAGATTCTACACATTGTGGTTCAAGAAGTATTTTTTTTTCCTAAGCTCCACTTGTAAAGAAAAAAGAAGGAATTAGACTGGGAGCAACACACGGAATGGTGAACTTACTCAGTTTTTTCATGCAATCCCGAAGCCTGGTTTCCAAACTGAGCACACGCTGATGGAGTTCCTCATAATCGTAGGCGCCAATTTCCTCTTGGATCCCAGTGAGTACTGAAGACAGATTTCTAATTTCCTCTTTGAACTGGGTGATTAACTTGGCATCTGTTTTGTACTGTTCCAAAACTGGGATCAGTGGCAGGAGCTCATCCATCTTTTCTTTCAATTCCTATAAAGGAGAGAAAAATAACAACCCATAAAAGTGTGCATAAGGCAAGTGTAAAAGCATTACTTTTTCCAAATTCTTTAATTAGATCTGTTTAGACTTCTGGTCATATCTATCCCTAAAATGTTTGCTTTGATCCTGCTAAGAAAATTATGATTCATGTCCCAGGAGAAATTTAGAAGCTTAGGCTGAGTGGCTCTTGGCTTTGGAGCAAGCATGTGAGTGCTCAACTTTTTTTAAAAAAATAAAGCATTTTATTTTGGACTAAGTGTTCCCCACTTAGCAAATACTTTAAAAGCTTTTCTGCACAGAAATGGACCATTTGGTTCACTTCACACAACACTTAATGCTTAAGAGTTCATTCATTCATTCATTCATGTTGTTGTCTTTCTGCATTAGAGGTTCTAGGGTGCTTTATTTAAATTTTGTGTACAGGAGAGATAATTGATCTGTACAGTACCCCTTGATGACTGGTGTGGTCAAAGATTCGCAGGTGTGTGTGGGGGAAAGAGAATTTCTAATCCACATGAAGAACTCTGGATCAAGGCTAGCAGTTATATCAACCTTTTCTTAACCGTGGTCAACATTTGCCAGTGTTTTACATTTTGCATGTAATGAGTTATATCTATCATTCTGCCAAAATAAAACACATCTAAAGAGGATATTCCAGAATTGCTCACATGGCTATTTCCCTGAGGAAAAGCTTTCTGTCGTAGTGCGTGCTTTCATTTTTATGATAAAGCATTTCAGTGTTTCTATGCCTAGATTTAACTCTGTTTCTTATGGACTGTAATTCAGCATAGCTCTTTCTCTCCTCCAAAGTAATTCTATAACTCATTTTAATGAGTTTCATCAATCATTTTGCCAGTCAATTGCCTGGTTTCAAAGATGCTTCAGGAACATTCTCCCTTTTCCCTCTCTGCCTCTTCTGGCTAACTGAACCAATTTGGGGGATTGGATTCAGTATCTTAGATAGCTTCTGTAAAGTTTGTACTAAAACCCATAGTGGATTTACTGCTCCTGAGTAATAGGAGCAGAGTGACAGAATAAGATTCAGGAGATCTGGGTATGAATCTCTGTTTGGCCATGGAAACCCATGGGAGGGGTAGGGAGGAACTGCTAAAACCACTCCTTAAGTAAGTCACTTACCTTAAAAGCCCTATTAAGGTCACCATACGTTGGTTCTGACCTGGCAGCACATAACATATTGTTGGTTTAGGTACATGGAGCATTACGGAACATAAACTACTCTACTTTCCCCATAACAATTATGTTGGACTGATCCTGACTGATAATGCAGAACATTTGTGAAACTGGAGTGTTCCTGGAACCTAGCCAGCCCTTTCCAAACCTCATCCAATATTAAGGTCACCATAAGTTGGTTCTGACCTGGCAGCACATAACATATTGTTGGTTTAGGTACATGGAGCATTACGGAACATAAACTACTCTACTTTCCCCATAACAATTATGTTGGACTGATCCTGACTGATAATGCAGAACATTTGTGAAACTGGAGTGTTCCTGGAACCTAGCCAGCCCTTTCCAAACCTCATCCAGTGAGCTGGATAATAGGAAGAACGTTCTCTTCAAGCCTCTGCCCTGACATCACCAAGTGCCTCCCACCTGTTTTATTGTACCTAACGTGAAGAGAGGCACAGAACGTTTCTCTGCATGGAAAAAAAGAGAGTTAGCAGGTACCTGGAAGAGTGGGTCCTAGCTGGGATGGTGAACAGCAGGCCAAGGAACTTCTCCAAGCACCATCTGAATCACAAACGGGCTCCAACCATGTACTGCCCTGACCAGGACAGCAAGCGGTAGCTAAAGGGATTTGGATGGTAAGACGAAGGAGCTGCACTTGTGGGCTCCAGCTGAGCTTTAAGCCAGTTTTGCTTCTCTAGCATGTTCCCTCCCTCCTCTCCAGATGTATCCTTGAGGATCATTCCTCGAGGCCATGACTGAATACTGTATTGAGCTGCCTTTGCTTCTTGGATGGAAAGACGAAGGAGCTCCACTTGTGGGCAGATGTATCCTTGAGGAGCATTCCTCGAGGCCACAACTGAATACTGTATTGAGCTGCCTTTGCTTGCCCTTCTCACTTGGAAAATAGCTCCTCCCAATATTTTCAAAGAAGTGGGAGGAGTGACGTGGACTGGCCATGCCCTTAGGACTGCAGCTCTTGAGGCCTCCCATTTGTTTTCCCTTGAGCATGAGGGGCCTCAATGAGTTTTCTGTGTGGGTGAAATTTGATCTCCAGGCAGGAGTTTCCCCGTTCCTGATCTAAGAAGAAAATGCTCAGATGGAGTTCTAAGCCAGAGAGAACCTTGGTCAGAGAATAAGAGATGGCAGAAATCGCTTCTTCTAACTCATGAGTTAGTTGATTTAGAGAACTGATGCCAATGTACTTCCATGTAAAAAGGTAAAGGTTCCCCTTGACAATTTTTGTCCAGTCGTGTCCGACTCTAGGGGGCGGCGCTCATCCCGCTCTTCAAGCCATAGAGCCAGCGTTTTGTCCGAAGACAATCTTTCCGTGGTCACATGGCCAGTGTGATTTAGACACGGAACGCTGTTTACCTTCCCACCGAGATGGTACCTATTTATCTACTCGCATTTGCATGCTTTCGAACCGCTAGGTTGGCGGGAGCTGGGACAGGCGACGGGTGCTCATTCCGTCGCGTGGATTCGATCTTACGACTGCTGGTCTTCTGACCCTGCAGCACAGCTTCTGCGGTTTAGCCCACAGCGCCACCACGTCCCCAGGTACTTCCATGTACATTGCACCAAATCTGCTGGACCGCAAGACGGGCGTGGTAGCTGTGATGCTATCATTTGCAGTAAAACAATCCATTTCATTGCATGATACATAACTGATACCACTCGAATGGCAACGTTTTGCCTATTATGACTAAAGACAAACCTTGTGATGTTAAAAGAAGTGAGCAGATATTGTGAAATTAGATTTCTGGTCATTGGAGAGGGTTATCCTCTGCAGGAGGCTTATTTTCAATGTCCCATATTGTAAAACACTGATGATAATGGTGACAGTATTTTAATAAATGAAATTGAAATTAATCATATTTACCACTTTACCTTAATGAAATTTCTATTCTTTCCTCCCACATGTCTTCAGGGAAATATTAACTCCAGAGAGAGGAAAATCCATAGGTATTGCCAAAAAGCATGTATTAACACACCACTAATTTAAATAGATGGGGATTGCATTGTTAAATTACATGCAGAAATGTTATTACCAGAGTAACTGGAGTGCTCAGATATGATTTCATGAGAACAATTCCATTTATTGCAGATGCCCAGAAGCCTTAGAATCAGAGTGGTTTGTAAAGGACGAACTGAGGGAGCATTTTATTAGACACAGCACTATAAACTCACACAGACCTTTACAGATGGACATTAAATCCTCTTTCTTTTCCAGAGATCTTAATTTATGAATGCAGTTCTGTGACTACCTAAGTCAATGAGATCCTTTTCAGTGTCAGTTTCAATATGCTTTCATGGATTTTGTATAAAGAACAGGAAAGAATTATAGATTTTTATCTGAGTTCATAGACTCCATTTTCTGAGTCTGTGGGCATTTGCATATTTTATGTAGTAAATGAGCTTCCTCTGAGCAGAGCCCCTGGCCACCCAAATGAAAGGGGTGGAATATAGAAACACAGAAAGCTGCCTTCTATTGAATTAAACCATTAGCCCATCCAGCCCAATGCTGTTAACTCTTGACTTGAGAGAAGAACTCCAGGGTTCTAAGGCAGGGCACTTTCCTAGTTCTGCTTGGAGATCCCTGCTGTTAACTTGTGTTATCCCATCCAAATACTAACCAAACCTGTGGCTTAGTTTCCGAAATCAGATGAGATTGGGTATGAGTGGACATATATGGATGTAGGTGTGAATGGGGATATCCATGTATGTATGTATGTACGTACGTACGCACGCACGCACGCACGCACGCACGCACGCACGCACGCACGCACGCATGTCTATTTCCCCGAAAATAAGACAGGGACTTATATTAAGGTTTGCTCCAAAAAACGTAGGGCTTATTTTCAGGGCATGTTTTATTTTACAGTCATGCCATCTTATTCTGGTTGCTGCACAATGGTGGAGAGCGGGGTTTCACTTAACTGGGGTTTATTTTTGGGGTAGGGCTTATATTACGAGCATCCTGAAAAATCATACTAGGGCTTATTTTCAGGTTAGGTCTTATTTTGGGGGGAAACAGGGTTTGTATGTACCGTATGTATATGCTGAATACCTTTGTTTGGACAGTAAAGTGCATGGCTAGGAGATCTGATCAGGATAGGTGCTGGAACCTAACAGTGTCACTTGGTAATGGAACCTAAATTTGTAGAGTTAGCACAAGTAAGGAATTATGCAACTGGCTGCATAATCTTGACATTACTGTTCTTGCATTATTGCTTGTACAAGGGTTACATCCAACCCAAATACTTCAGATTTTATGTGGGTTTTTTGCTCCATTAGCCATCAGATTGTATCCATGACAGGATCTCTAGAAATGTTCAGTAATGATTGTGTGATATATTCACTTACTTCATTTGCTGCAGAAAAGAGCAGTGTAGCCCAGGTGTAAATGCAGAAAGCAGCCACACCACATCAAGTGTGCAGAGGCATCTGTTATTAGCAATTTGATTAGTGCTGAAGCAGGAGTTACTGATTCTAATAGGTTCAACATGAAACAATAGCTGTTGGTACACCTGGCAGGAAGGCGGAGTTGACCTAACATATTTTGCTGCCTGACTCTTAAGATGAGAGAATGACATCTCCTCTCATGCCATGTACAAAAGCAAGAGAGCTGGGCAGCATCTTCTGCTACACCTAAAGGCACCAGATTAGCTTTGAGGATGCAAGACAAGTTATGCGGCACACTGTTCTCTCTTCCAATATCTCAGAACTATCTTTCTGCATTGGATGAATAAGTGCGTCACTCTGCCTAATAGTGGGGCCAAACGGGCAGCAACGGTTTCATAAGTAGAGTGTGTATTCATTCAGACTAAATGTGATTGACAACTGATTGTGCTTTCTGAAGGACCTTCAACAAAGCAAACTGGATCTTTGCTTTCTCAGAATGCAACTTATATACAGATACTATCAGGAAGCTATGACATAAAACAGACAGGAAGATGTATGCTTATTTTTTCTCCTTTACATGTGAAATAGAGGAAAGATTAACCACAAAATCCTCTTCTGTAAACTACACTTTTGTAAGGGTGATTCTGTTATCGGCAGGGTGAGATTGTCGGTAATTTCAAAGTTCCTCCATCAATTGCAGATCTCGCTCAACTTGCCTGCAATCAATCTCATTCCCATATTTTTAAAAAATATTGTAGTAATTTATTATTTTAACTTTTAACTTTGTTTCTGTAAGCCACCTTGGACCCTTTAGGTGAAAGGCTGCATATAAACATACCTGGGGCATGTAATTACTGCAGCTTAAAACAGGTCTGGAGAGCCTGTGACCCTCCAGATTTTGATGGAGTTCAGTTCCCATTAGCCCCTGCTAGGCTAGCCACTAGTGATGGATGATGGGAGTATTTGTTTAGCAACATCTGGAAGGTCACAGGTTCCCCAGCCCTGGTTTTCAAAGACTGAATAGAACTGTGCCAGACAAAAACACCAAAAGTCTTGAAATCCCTTAAGAAAACACACATGTTTTATTTGGCATATGCTATTGTGGACTGAAACCCACTTATTCAAATATGTCTGATGAAGTGAGCTGCAGTCCATGAAAACATGGGCCAAAAAAACCCATCCAGTCTTTAAAATGTCAAATGGTTTTTTTATTGATTGTGCTTCTACAAACTGACACAAGGATTCTCCTGGAAATCTCTCCACCACCTAAGGATTTAGATGAGGAATCTGTCCATGACATTTCCACAGAACCAGTTGCCACAGCGGTGCTGGAGACCAGACCTGGATCCGTACATGGGGGAAAGATGTGCTTTCCCATTGAGCAACAGACCTCTTTGAAGTACAGTGAAATACACTGTCTAAATTCTTGTGTTCGGAAAAGAGGCAGCTCAGTCTATTCTTTTGACCTTTCAAATTACTGAGAAGCATTATTGTCTTGCAATTCTTTTTGAATGCCAGTTGAATGATCACATTAAATCTGTAGGCCCCGCCAATCCAAATATCAGGGCTTTGAAAGGTCAGTGTTAGAACATGCTGTTTCCTATGACAGATTGTATTGAACGACTGGATGCCGATATTCCCTTCAGATGATAAAACATGTCATGACAAGATATATGAATGGCACAATACAAATTTGTTATAATGGTATACAAATCACCAACCCAATTATCTGTTCCATGTGAGGATATCCTATAGTTATGTCATCTACATCTTTCTTGGACAATCTTAAAAGCTAATCTTCTATCCAGAGAGCCCGCTTGATTTCCTTATCATTAGGTTAGATGCTAGGGAACATTTTCTAAAGCCTGGGAGGGGGTGAAGCAAAGCGGCAAGATGAGCTTGGCAGGGGAGTGAGGTGGCTATCAGGCAGTAGGGATGGCTGAGAATTTTGTCTGACTCCTTAAAAAACAAGCAAACAGAAGAACTTGGTCAAACATGCACTTATCTCCATAGATAGGACAGGAAGCATCTGAAATATACAGTGGTGCCTCGCTTAGCGATGTTAATTGGTTCCAAAAAATTCATCGCTATGGGAAAACGTCGCTAAGCGAAACATGGTTTCCCATAGAAATGCATTGAAAACCGGATAATCCGTTCCAATGGGAACGGATTGCCGTCCTTAAGCGAAAATCGCCATAGGAAACATCGCTAAGCGAAACGCGGTTCCCCAATTGAAATGCATTGAAACCTATTCAATGCATCTCAATGGGGGAAAAAATTTACAACAAATTGAAAAAGAGTCGGAACAAAGTCAAATTAGTTTAACAAAGGGTTTATTAAGTGCACTTATGATTTCAAGCATTCTAAACATTTTAAAAACATTTTTAAATGTATAAAAACAGCCAACAGGAGGCTGTCAAAACTATAGTTAAGCGAAACAGGGGGACCCAAACTGTCATTGCTATGCGAAGCATGGTCCCAAACATCGCTATGCGAAAATCGCCCATAGGGAACATCGTTAAACGGAGCACAAGATCGCTCTGAAAAAACCATCGCTAAGCGAATTTGTCGTTAAATGAAGTGCTTGTTAAGCGAGGCACCACTGTAAATGGGGAGATCCATCCAACCAGGCAGAGGATACAAGCCTATGTTTTAACTCCCTGTTCCCTCAGCCACCTTTGTAAGCTCCATAGGGTCTCTTCTAGCTCTGCCAATAATTCAGATGGTCAAATTAAGCAAACACAAACACGTGCCAAATGAAAACACATTGCTAGTAATTAAAGCAGCATTAACCTTTCTTATAAACTTTCCTCTCCTGGAGCGTACAGAATGTCATTAGTATTTAAAGGGGCAAACTGATGATGCTTATGTTATTAATTCTCCTGTGTGCTTCGTTTATCACACATCTGGCTGGATATATATTTCTGTTGAGTGCCCCATCACAAATGCAGCAAAGATAGGATTCTCTTTTGTAATGACATTTTTCTATTGTCACAGTAATTAATGGTCACTTCCCATTGCTATGAAAGTGCACAGTAAGAGGGACAATCACGGAAGAAACAGGGGTTCATTATGCGCTTACCGACAAGCGTTTCAAGTCGACAGTTTTAGCCAGCTACACATTGCTTCTCCCAAGCATATCACTTCTGGCTGTCATTCAAAGCAGTCATTAAGAAAAAGAAGAGAGAGATGGAAAAATCAAAACCTACTTGAAAATGTTTTGTCATTAAAGTTTTCCGGTCATCTTCAATTTGCCGGAACTTGGCTTTCAACCCTTTCATTTGTGTTTCCATTCTTAAAACATACTGGAAATCTCTCTGAGTCCGTAGGTTTAAAACTTCAATGGACTGGGACATATTCTGAACCTGTCGAGAAGAACAGCACATAGACTCAATTTTATTTTATTTTTGGCCGTGTTTCTTATATTTAAAATGGAGACAATAAAACACTTGTATGACATGATGCTGTGTGTCACCTCTTCAGTTGTTAGCTGTTCTATTTTTAAAAAACCAGTGAAGTATTGAATTCTTAAATGAGCAAGAGCTGAGAATGGAAATCACATTCTAAATTCCATTCTTGTTCTCAGGAAAAAGTATATGCTCTATAAAATTAATGACATTCTGGCAATACAGACATAGATCCTTATCCATCACTTGATAGTCTGAAGAAGAACATACCAAATGCTTTGAGAAGAACAGTGCTCCTCAGGAAGAATTACATTTCCTCCCTCCCTCCCTCCCTCTCTTTCTCGGTAGCAACCCCAGCCTGGTATATTTATTTATTTAAAATATTTTAAATCCAGCTTTCTCATTAAAAAGGGTCCAAGGCATACTGCAACAATTAAAATACAGTATTTAAGTTAGTACCAAAGAGTATACACTAATAAAAGAATTCATGAATACAATACCAAAAAACCTAAGCAGCACCAAAACACATTCAATGCACTAAGATACAGCAATCAATTTGAAAAACCCTACTCAGCAGCCATTCAGTCAGGGAAAGCTTGCCTGAAGAGAAAGGTCTTTGCCTGCTTGCAGAAGGACAGTAAAAATGGGGCCAGCCTGGCATCCTGTGGGAGGGAGTTCTAGAATCTGGGGCCAGGGATAGAGGAGGCCCTCTTCTGTGTCCCCACCAAGCACACCTGTGAGGGTCATGGGACTGAGAGAAAAGTCTGATAACACCCAGGCAGGCACATAAAGGGAGACCTGGTCCTTGAGATAGCTTGGACCCAAGCCATTTAGGGCTTTATAGTTTACAACAAGCACCTTGAATTGTGCCCAGAAATTAGCGACCGGGAGAGGGGAGTTATGGGATTCCTGTAATCAACCCTAGTTAACAATCTGGATGCTGTGCTTTGGACCCCATGTAGAGCGCATTGCAATAATCCACCTGAGATGTAACTGGCATGCATCATTATGGCCAGATCAGACCCTTCCAGGAATGGGCACAGCTGGTATACTAGTTTTAGTTGTGCAAAGGCATTCCTGGCCACTGCCGAAAACCTGGGTGTCCAGGCTCAGAGATGGATCCGGGAGAACACGCAAGCTGCGCACCTGCTGGACAGCTCAGTGGTTCAGGTATCTGGCTGTCGAGCCAGAGGCTGGGAGTTTAATGCCCTACCATCCTTCCTTGACAAGGGCTGGACCTGATGATCAGAGTTTAATTCCCTACCATGCTTCCTTGACAAGGGCTGGACCTGATGATCCATATGATTTCTAGCTCTGCAGTTCCAAGATGGTGATGATGGTTTTCAGGGTGAGTGTAATCCCATCCATAGAAAACCCTGGTTTTCAGGGTGAGTGTAATCCCATCCAGCATAGACCGCATTTCTATTCCTCGCTCTGTCATTTGACTGACCAGGAGCATGTCTCTATTGTCTGGATTGAGTTTTAGTTTATTCACCTTCATCCATTCCAATACTGACACTAGACACTGATTCATCTCCCTTATTTTCTTTAATTTATTCCCCTCTCTCTTTCTCTGACAGACTAGGATGTTATTCCTATCTTCCCTATTATGATCTCTGATCAGAGGGTGAGGGAATAAAGTTTGAAATCTCAGGATGAATCCAGCAACAAATGTTGGCATTTGAGTAGGCACTGCAAGGCTCTGAAATGAAATCGGTAAGAATACAAGCAAGCAGCCAAGGGAGGCTTCCAGAGGCAGGAAAGGTAGTGTGGGTTCCTTGGACAGAAACAGGGGAGTTATGGATGACAAGAACGTCATCAAAGACTATGTGAAGTGAACAGGACAAAGAAGACTGAGGAGTTCAGGGCTCCAACACCAACTTTACTTTTAGGAAAAAGAAATACTTCAAAGTCATGGGCCATGGTCTAAGCGCACTGGTTCTTAACCTTGGGTTACTCAGGAGTTTTGGACTGCAACTCCCAGAAGCCTTCACCACCAACTGTGCTGGCTGGGGTTTCTGGGAGTTGCAGTTCAAAAACATCCCAGTAACAAAGGTTAAGAACCACTAGTCTAAGGAGAGCAGGCGCTTAACCTTGAACTTTAGAGGTAACTCCCAGTTCCACCATCATCCCACGCAGACCAGGAGCTGTCCTTGCTAAAACAAGACTTTCCAGGAGAACCAAACAGGAAGATGACTATGCCTTTCTTCAAAAAAGGATACTTGATTCTGAACCAGTGTTTTTGGTGCTCATCTCATGTCATACATGGATGTGTCATAACACCCAACTACAAAACAAGGCGTTATCTCAATTGCAACTGAGTACTTTTGATTTTTGTGCACCTGGGAGCTTCTTAGATAAAGGTCAGGACCTCTTGTCCACATTAATAGAGGGTGGTGACATACCCTCTCCTAGCTTGTACCAACTCAAGCTATTTAGCTGTTACAAAAATGGGAGATCTCAGGGACAAACTGAAAATGTGGAGACAAAATTGAATTAGCTTGTGTTCTTTTGGAACATAATTTTAGCCTGGTGAAGACAGTGAGAATTCTCTGTTGGAGGACCCTCACAGAACTACAATTACCAGGATTTTCTGGGAAGAAGAAGTATCATAACATTCAAGTTCTGATTCACCCACTTCACCATAGAAGTTTAAACAGGACTGCTTTGGAAGAGTGGTTGCGTTTCTAATTAAACACCAAAGGTTTCACTTCAGCTGGCTGAAGATCTTGTGATAAAACTCAGTTTTACAAATTGAACTTATGTAGCGAGGAATCAATAGCTATGCACAGAATCCAGCTGTCTCCTGTAATCACCTGTGAGAGATTTTATTAGTATTTGTTTGTTTTGGATGCTTGCAATTTACTAACCAGAGCGTTTGCTCCTATGAGTATCAATAACAGAAAAGCTGGGTGTCTATCTAAAAGTCTAAATAAATGTGAAGAAACCATGCTGTGGGTTTGTGATCATTCAGTGTTTCATAATCCCTCATCTAGTTTTAAAAAGATTGTAAAGCTGGTATTTCATCAGAATGCAGATTTCCTACTTAGCCAGCTCTTAATGCGTTCTGAAAAAGTGCTTACAATAAAAGCAAATCCACATTTTTTTTATTATCCTTGTCGCTTAAGAAGTCAAGCAAATAAAATACCCTCAGAAGTATGACAAAACTAGGGCTGTTTGTTTTGCCAGCCTGGCAGTTACTCTGAATCTGTAATAAGTCTCAGTGCATGGATTTATGGAAGCAGTAACACAGAGAAGGGTTTCCTTGGATACTCAAAGTGGTTAAATTAAAATAGTTTTACTAGGGCTATACTGAGTCCTATGAAACGTTTGATTTTCAAAGTTAAGACAGTATCTCTGTGGGTAATTTCAAAAAAGCTGTGTGCCTACCTTTCCCAAAATCATTCGGTGTCACTGTTTCCTATTACTGCTATTACTACTTTGTTGATATTATCATTCCCAGCATTGTTCTTTTCACTTCTTAGATTAACTTCACTGGGATCAAACAGTGAAAGAGGATAATGACATAAAGGTATGTGCCAATGAGATCTGAGACATGATAAAGGCATTATTTGCAAACTAAGCCTATTTAGAGTGAGAGCATGAGAGAGCAAATGTAAAGGTTTTGCAAGGAGTGTCCCACACGCCTAAATAATGGAGGTGATCTTTTCTGCTGCTGTTGAACTTGTATGTGTGTTGATGGTCATGCACACATACATGCGTGCATACATGCAAATGTGAGTAGCCCCAGCTTTTACAGAATATTTTAGAGCTTTTAATTATCAAATGAATGCATTTATTTATTACGGTGAAGTGACCAGCTCATCAAACATATTTATGGCTAAAATATAAAAAAATGCAATTAAAAATGTACAACCAGTTCATAAAACATATTATGTGGCTAAAATATACAAAATACAGTTAAAAATGTACAAGTAGTTCATAAAACATATAGCTAAAATATACAAAATGCAATTTTAAAAAGTGTACAAAAGTTAATTAATTGTGTACTAGTTTTAAATATGGGGAGAATCAAATACAGCATTTTATAGTTATCCTTTGAACCACTGGATCGTCTAGGGGCAAACTGGTTTGGACAGGGTCTTTGGGTTATAGTCAATCCTTCCTAAATATTTGTAAAGATTTGCAAACATTTCCTCCCTTCGGTTCGGACCACAACATTTCTCTACGCTCAACAATAAACCACCCTTAATCACAAAATGACATGAGTGGAGCTCAAGAAAAAAAATTCACAAAACACCCCAGAGGATGGACTAATTAATATTTGGACACATCAACGGAAGTTAGGCCTATTAAATTTTATACACGCTAGGGATGGTGGTTTTGGAATTATTGAACTCCCAGTCCCATAATTTGATGGACACCTCCCCCCCTGCAAACCAGTTTGAACTGTGGGACTGGGAACCATCAGGCCAGCAGGAGGTAGAGCAGCCCCCTTGCCTCCACCTTGTCCCAGTGCTGCACTGTGGGAGTCAGGAGGACTTATTGTGATTAGCAAAGGTTGCCTCAGAGAGGCTGGCTCTCTCCCCAGAAAAATCTTTGTGAGTTGGCAGTGAAACCTTGTGACTCCTGAGGTGCCATATGGGGCATTCTTCCACCAGTTTGAAGAAGGGGCATGGAAATGGGATGGAGGCAAGAGGGCTTCACAAGAAGGTAAGATTCCCATAATTTGGACTGGCAGTTTGTTAATTCCAGAATCCCATCTCTTACTGACCAACTTTCTATGACTTACTTGTGACTTTTTATATTAACTAACTCATGGTCCTGATTTTGGTGTTGGAGTACCCTTTTTGCCCGAAAATAAGACCTAACCTGAAAATAAGCCCTAGTATGATTTTTCAGGGTGCTCGTAATATAAGCCCTACTCCCAAAATAAGTCCTAGTTAAGTGAAACCCCGCCCTCCACCATTGTGCAGCAACCAGAAGATGACATGACT